AAGCAGTTGGGATTAAGACATTTCCATAAAATGAGCACACTTTGGAACACCAACTCTGGAATAAGAAGAATTCTGAGTATTGGCGTTCAAGTTTCGACCAACGTTTCGAACGCCCTTGTTTTATTGGCGAGAAGGAGATAGAGGGGAAATTTTGAAAAATGTTCAGTATTCGGTGAGATCATTTCGCTCTGGATTAATTCTTCTTCGATCGATCGAACGAAATGTCTGTTCGTTGTAAACCCAAAGCGGATATCGAATAGAATGTTAATCCTGCTCTGAACACTTCTTGGCCAAAATTATCGCATTTCTCAGTCGATCGGACTTTTCTAAGCACCACAACGAATAACCCCAGGATCACTATTTGAGTCGCTAAGAAACTTTGAGATGAATAGAGGCGAATCTTTGCAATGAAATGACGTCTACACCGAGCTCTCAAAGTTAACAACGAGATCTGCTTCGTCGTAGGTTCCCAAGACCTTCAGTTAGCGGGATGAAAATGAAAACGCGCAACGTATCCTCCTACCACTTTAAGCAGGTTTTTCACATAAGAATTAAATTGAAAGAAAACCAGTTGGTATAATATGCGCTTCACATTAAACAGGAGCCATGATGCAGTATGCGTTGTCCAGAAATTGGTGAACAACGCTCACTTCTTTCACATGAAGCATCGAATTACGTTTCCAACACAAAATGGATTGGTAACAGGTCCTTTTATCTCCTACTTTTGGTCTTAAAGAAAAACCTTTCAGAGGAGTGATACGAGGGAAACGATAAAGCATAAGCAGAACTGCCGTTCCGTTACTCTACTTGCAGGAAATATATCTTACAATCCGACTTTCTATTAACCTCGGCATTGATTGAATATATATCTTTCTACTTCTGTTCAGCAAACACGAGGTGCTATTTTATTTCTTTATTTACGCACAAACTGACGTTTCGGCGGATTTCGCCTTCCTCAGAGCCTGGAAGGGTCAAGTTGACAGCAAACCACTTGGCCAAACACCTCCATAACCAAACAGAGAAAACGCTAAACTAAGATTTCAATCACATTTAGCATAGCTCTGCACACTCACCGCTTTCTATGAGTCTTCCGCTGAGTACGTCGCGTGAAGACCGACCGCACAGAATCCACATGGAAGCGTAATGTGCCATTCCCATCAGAATAACAGGTTTATATACTGTCCAATATCACGCGTGATAACGAGGCATTCCTCCCTACGGTTCATTTTCGGATTCTTGGAATTAATCCAGAATGCTTCTAGAGTTTTGCGCGCTTGTGTTCTCGATTCTCGCGCGAGGATCGTAACCCTTACTTCAAAATCTTCTCCGTTATGTTTCTGCGTGCTATGCGTACCTAGTGGAGTACTTGGCTTACGTTTGCGGACTAGGTGTNCGGTTCATTTTCGGATTCTTGGAATTAATCCAGAATGCTTCTAGAGTTTTGCGCGCTTGTGTTCTCGATTCTCGCGCGAGGATCGTAACCCTTACTTCAAAATCTTCTCCGTTATGTTTCTGCGTGCTATGCGTACCTAGTGGAGTACTTGGCTTACGTTTGCGGACTAGGTGTTCTTTTACACGTACGCAAAGTGGTCCACCAGTTTCGCCAACGTATTCGTCCCCGCACGCTTTACAAGAGATTAGATAGACTGTACCCGAACCCATGCAGTCACGGTGACTCGCGCGAGAATCGAGAACACAAGCGCGCAAAACTCTAGAGGCATTCTGGATTAATTCCAAGAATCCGAAAATGAACCGCAGGGAGGAATGCCTCGTTATCACACCTGATATTGGACAGTATATAAATCTGTTATTCTTATGGGAAGGGCACATTACGCCTCCATGTGAATTCTGTGCGGTCGGTCTTCACGCGACGTACTCAGCGGAAGACTCATAGAAAGCGGTGAGTGTGCAGAGCTATGCTAAATGTGATTGAAATCTTAGTTTAGCGTTTTCTCTGTTTGGTTATGGAGGTGTTTGGCCAAGTGGTTTGCTGTCAACTTGACCCTTCCAGGCTCTGAGGAAGGCGAAATCACCCGAAACGTCAGCTTGTACGTAAATGAAGAAATAAAATAGCACCTCGTGCTTGCTGAACAGAAGTAGAAAGATATCTTACAGTATTTCTCTTTAATCAGTTTTACGGTTATATGAACAGTTCCACTAATAACACACAGTTCGCAGGGATTCACTGATAATACTATTACGGTCGCTATCAACCGATGGGAAGACGCATCGCTCCATCTGCACACTCACTTGCTGAATGGCGTGAGAACCCCAGATCACGCCAAAGGTCCCACCAAGTGCCTGCGCATACAAACGACAACGGCCCTGGGTCATCGTAGGCCTGAGTCTGAGTGTCAATTTATATCCTCGATAATATGGCGTGGCATGAATGGGAATTAACCCAATTATTACATCACTTTAAATCCGAGTTCACACCAACCCATCAGGGAAAAAACCTCTGAAGCTTTGCACTTTTCACAGTGAAACTCACACTCTCTCTGAATGCACCTACTCCACAACGACTGAAATCGAATGCGGAATTCTAATATAACTTCTTTCGTTCACTGTCACTTTCTTTAGAATCCTTTTTTAAGAATTTCCGATTATTGTAGGTGCACCGCACTATTCTACAGCGACTTTCTTTGTAAGTTTATATAACCGGACTGAAGCTGAACTAGAAAACCAAACAAGATTTTAGGATGATAGAAAATTGATGCAGCATTGCAAAACTCCTTTTTTCATATGGATCTCAAACTTATTGTGTTCAGACAAAACGCTTTACGATCCAAATTACGGCAGAAACAAAAATAGAACAAATCTGACAAAGATCAGATCTCAGTGGCCATAAACTGTGAGTGTTTGCTCGGCTATAGCAAACGCTGTCGCGGCGAACCCATCGCACTGCACAAATGATATCCCTGGAAGGAGGAGGCTGCTGGCACAGCTCTGTCGACCAGGATGAGCTGCTCAACAACCTGGCAGAATATCCAGATCCAGACTATGCAATGGAGAAGGCAGTGAGGCAGATGCTACCATTACCATCCCATTTGCAAGCGCGATACCACTGCCTAACAACAATGGCTTGACGCATTCAGCAACAGCGACGGGTGTTCGTTCGTTATTCATTACTACTGCGTGTGAATAGAAGTAATTGCTAAGAGACCTAGTCAGACCGTACCTACTAACTCTGTCTGAAAGTATCAATTAACATGAAATTAGGCCAGGTTATGTTACTAAAGTACGTATTAACAAACACTTGCAAATGATGCACCCACTCCACACCAATTTTCCTTTCTTTTCGCTCTATGATCGTCTGATGATCAGCAGACTACTGCCACAAACCTTCGTTGCGCCATTTGGGTTAAACCCTGCCAGAACTAGGTTTGTACCGCCGACAACCGTTCCCAAGGCTCTGTTGCTATTCTCAAACTCTTCAGCAGAATCGATTACGCAAAAGTACAATAGCGCTGCTATAATGAAAGCAAACTCGTTCGCCTTGCACTTTGCCATCCATTACTGCGATTTAACCCCCGCTAATCCGTATTGGAAACATAAAATGTAGTCGTTCATAGAGACGACAAATGCAGCACAGAAACATCAAATGCCCGATGTGGCCATGCTAATGCCACCATTATGGAATACTCTCTTCGAGCACTATGAATCGCCAAAAAACTCCGGTTGTCAAGGCAAACGAAACCTGTCACGGCATACAAAACTTACCTCTGTACTCAAGGTACAGTGAATACCTATCTAGTTCTACCAATTCTAGGAAAAAGAAATTATACTAGGCACTTAGTTAATCTCGCAAAAAATGCAATTCCAGTAATATCGCTGTGAAACCTTCCTTTTATATCGCGTTCTGGCATGCACAGTCAAAACACTTTACAACATCACTACCACGACCACATGTGTCTTACATACACATAATACCTCATATTTATGGAAATAAATGCAGATCATAAGATTTACAAATTAAAGATGATACACTGTCAAAAATGGATCCGGATTTCATTCCTATAATGTTCAAGGTACAATATACAAAATATGCAAATGCATTGATGATAGAGTTACACTATGATAAATCTGAATAAAGCAATCAGAGAATCTTCAACAATAATAGAAATGTGGTTATAAAAATTTCTAGTTATCATTTCGCTTTTCATAAGAGGTTAGTCGGCAGTCAAATAATGTGCTTAGGAAGGGGTGAACGAAGCGAACGCTCAGCGTACGCATAGACTCTTCAGAATAAAACAAACTCTGATAATGGAATGATAGCACAGTTCACACGTGTCGCAAATAAAACGCTCCATCTACATACAGCTCTGGTTAATTTCTTAAGTAATCTGGGTATATATTTATAGATATGTGAGTGAAATAATCAAGACATATAGCTAAATAGGCAATATGTTTAGTGGTTAAATTGGTTAGTCGAGGGCGGAGTGACCGCTACACGTAAACATATTAGGGAGGTAACAATACTACTTGGACCCTGTACGTACTCGTGATGTAAAAAGTGGAAACGAACACAAAAGTAGGGAGTGAACAAGTACATAAGCATTCACAACGACAGCATTACAACACCGTAGCCTACCGATCTCTGATGAGAAGAGACTCCGTCAGTGCACTAGACCGTCAACATTGCCACACCTTTTGCTTCGGGCTCACGGGGTGCGTCAATATCTGCCCAAATCGACGACATAAGGTTATAAGCAGTCGAAGAAATACTAAATACGGATCATAAGAGGAAAAGAAACATTCATTAAAATGAATAGTAGAAAACAGAAACGTTAATGAAGCAACCATAGAAATAGTAGACATAGAACTTAAGACAAATCTTACTTATTAGATGAGTCGCCGAGACCCTCGTCTCGTTGATTTGAAGGAACCTGTTGACTGCACGACATTGAACCGAAGCCAGATGACCACAACGAAGCTCCGGACAACACTGACAATCGATTGGAGAACAGATCTACAATCAGTTTAGGTAACTGGCTACCCGATCATAGCTGTGACACAACATATGCCAACTGATTTCTTAACGAAGTTTGAGATTCGAATAAGATTAGCTCACCAGAAGTCTCACTAAGTCCGAGCCCAGTGTAAAAATTGTTCGACCAAGGCTGGAACGCATTTGACGTAGTGCTAGATGAGGAAGACCCTAAGAATGATGGTGAGACGGCAGGCGGTGAGCCCCCAGCGGAGTATGACGACTGTTTCGTAATCTGCGGATATCCGCGCAACTGAAGCAACTGCGTAACAAACAATATGCTAACGCAAAAGAAAAACCAGAAAAAACACACCAATCCATTGTACGCATTTCTATCCAGTGGTCGAGCATACTCTGGGTAGTTCTCGTTACCTGGTGCACGACGAATCATAGGTTGAGCCAAGCTGCCATATGCCGAACGTGCAGCAGCAGAAGCGGATGCAGCCAATGACAGATTGCTCTAAAAGCTAGGAAAGATAAACCGGTAGTTCCGTCAAAGATTTCGAGTAGAGTAATGCATAAGATTTCTCTGGACTATAACTCACGCCAAGATATTACCTGAAGATTTGAGTACTGAGTGATGGACGCGTCAGGGTCGGTCATTGGCATGTTTCCTGTGCGTTGGTAGATGTGCTGTTCAATTTCCTTACGTGCTGCTTCAACATTTTGTGGTAATCCGGTTACCTAAAGTTCTTTAATTACTAAAATACGGTAGGAAAACTAACAACCACTCTATATGACAATGATGCGGTAGAAAAACTAGCACTGAACAACATACTACATCATTTCAAATGGGTCATCTTTTTGTTCAGCAATAGCGAGGTTTGTATACAGAATACATTTACTTCCATGCAAAAACACACAATACAATAGCAGCTGACTCAACCTTACTGAGTCATCAACCATATGCGACTATAATCAGCTGTTCCTCCTCAGTGGAAGTCACGTAAAAACATGGCTCTGAAGAAGGCGATACTGCCAAACGTCAGCTACCGCCGTATTGTGATTTCGTATGGAAGTAAAAGTATTCTGTGTAACAACTTCGCGATTGCTGGACAAGAAACAACGCATTTATAATCTAGTGAGGAGGTTAATAGAAAGTCGATCCTGAGAAATGTTATAAGACATTCCAGTCATTATTACAATGAATATAGAACACATTACAAGCGTACCTCAAATATAGGCTCTCTTTCACGACTCGGTGTAATGATGTACGTGTGGGTATCTTGCTGAATCCTCTTGATTGTGGCACCTTTTGGCCCAACGACAAGTCCAACCACCCGAAGCGGAACACGTACATACAGAGTGACATGTCCTGGCGCAGGCGCTCCTCCTTTAAATTACTATTCAGTCAGTAGAACTATTTGAAGAGAAGAAATACCATGATGTCGTAAATGTTTATTGCATCGCACCGTGCGAATGGCGTCGGCTGGCTCGAATCTGTGTGAAATGCTCTGCTGCACATTCGATTTCCCTTTTCGCCTCGAGCACATCCTCAGCTTTACCAGTGACCACGAATACAGGATCTTCACCTCTGATTGGAGTTTTGATGTAGGTGTTAGTTTTTGCCCGAAGCGCTTTGATCTTGCATCCTACAAAATATAACCTGGAGAATGAAAGAAAAGAAATCAACATATTTCCTATCGCTTCTAGGAAGGAGTCGTTATTATTAATTCCTTCTGTATGGTTTACAGAAGCTTCAACATTTAAACCAATGTCCAACGATTGTAAAAGTGAGCCCAGTAATGAAATCATTTAGAAATATATTCGCAAAACTTGAAACGTTGGCCGGATCGAACCACAATTACCCTTTCCTACTCCCACGAAAGAGCAATCGTGGTTCGATCTGGCCAAGAGACCAAGTTTTTCGAATATCTTAGCATCGTTTGTGGTTGTATTTCACATCATACCCTGCTGTGAAAAACTGTAGTAGGCAGCAAATAAAAGGTTAAAATTATAGAGGTTATTATCGCTAGCAAATATTCCTGACATCTTCTCGAACGAATGGCTGGTCCAATGTGCAACATGTATTTATCATCATCTCACTTTTGGAACGTCTATAGCAGGATGCTATGGTGAAGAAATCCCAAGACACCATCATCACCACCATACGCAATCAATATGTCGAACGCCTGGTCTGGTAGTGGTCGTTCAGAGCGTAATACCATGTGCCTCTTCGCCCTCATCTATATGTAGTATTTCTCGCCGTCTATCTGCGTAAATATTTATTCCTAATGTCATTCAAGACATTCGCACGCCAATCGCGTCTTATAAACAAGAAGCCCTCTCGAAATGTCATACACAAACTTTGTGCTCACTCCAACCTCCTTATTCACCACCTGAATAAACGATCTAACATGCTACCGATGTTCCTTCCATACGGTGAAACCCCTAGCGAACTCAACCGCTAAGTACTCAGTAAATTTTGGATGCATGTAGAGTTCTTGAAACTTAAGCAGGACTTCTCTGCATTTGAACCGATGTCCACCATTTGTACACTTGTCACTCCAACTCACTAGCTCGTATGAGCAGTCACTAACGATGATACCCTCTTTGGAAGTCACGAAAAAAGCGGCTCTGAAGAAGGCGATACTGCCGAAACGTCAGCTAGTGTTGTATTGTATTGTGAATTTTTTATGGAAGTAAATGTATACTGTTTAAAAACCTCGCGATTGCTGAACAAGAAAACGACACATTCATATTCCAATGTCGAGGTTAATAGAAAGTCGATCCTGGCAATAATACCCAGGCTCAGACTATGTGTGTCCTGGTGTTTAACACATCGTATTATGTGCATAACGATACTCTCTTCTTCGCATTCTAATTAGTGTCAAATGTGAACTGATTATGCTCTCCGTATACCTTCAGCATCAAACACACTTGATTTCCAATGAATTTCAACACAAATTAAGCCCAGATTCATGGGATCCTCAAGTCTCCTCTAGTCGAGCTATCAGATCTTAAGCTACGAATGCTATTCTGATATGAGTGTTGTGGAAAATGGACAGAGTCGGTGGAGAAAAAGTGAACTGTGATGAAGAGCGCGGAGAAACGCAGTCGAAACAGCACGGCGGGCAGAGACGGAGAGCAACTTGCGGACGGCCAAAGCTCGTCAACGCAGCGAATCGAGGTAATTGCCACTCACAACACCGTCCAACAACTACCGTATTCATATAAAAGATCATTTTTTCATCTCACCATTTTTCACCAACTGCGAAGAGGTCCCGAGCAACCGAACACTCGTAGCTCAGAATCTACTGAAGAACAAGAAATACGAACGAAGGTCATGCAAAACGCGGAAGTATTTCTGGCGCAGTATTCGCCTCCGCATCGGGAACATCACTGATTTCCAAGCATCGCTACATAATGATCAAAAGTTTCTCCTGCTCCGTCAATCTCAGTGCCGCCGACCTCGTTCCCCGTTCACCAAGCGATAAACAAACGACAAACATGCTTTGAAATTGCCCGCGAAACTGGCAGTGCTAGTTTGAACGCCATATCATCACTGCTCGGTAAAAATATCGATTTAAAACCCAAAAATGCATTGATATCGAAAAAAGAACGGGTGAATTTACTTGAAAAAAATGGTTGTAAACGAGATAAGAACGCAAAGAAAACAAACCTTGTCTGCCTACGATTTCGGCTACGTGTTCGCTGCTGGGCACCTCGACACTTTCCGAACAGTTTCTGGAGCCGATAATTCCTCGAAATGCGGCCATTTCTTCTTGGTCGTAGGTAGGTGACGCTGAAGCATCATCGCCCATCTCGTAGAACCATGCTCCAGGCAGTTGACTCTGGCATCCGATAGACTCTTCTTTCATCCTGGAAATATGGAATACCATTTCGAAACACATTAAACAAATAAACACAGGATAAAGGGCAGATATAAATACACAACGCTGATTAATTGTAAGCATAGCAAAGGATCTAAATAAGCGTCCCAACGACAGCCAAAGATTGCTAGTTGGTGCCGTGGACGCCTAATGAGAGATTAAATTAACGCGACAAATGAGCACGAAACTCGCTCGCGCGGCTCATTCAAATAGTAGGGACCCAGTAGATGGTCAAAAGTGGTGGAGATGAACGTGAGAGACTTGAACATTGTCAGCGAGATCAGCACAAACAGCGCAGACGCGAAGCGTCTGGCAATCGATAGCAGACCGCCTTACTTGACTCGCCATCCGCTCTTCAAACTCGTTAGAAAGCGCTAAAATAACACACGTTCGGTGGAGAGTCGCGAAGCACGGACATAACGCACCAAAGAGGTCCCCAGGAGATGCCGTGGAGGACTTCGAACAGTTCTCGACAGAGAACCGAACAGAGGCAAGCAACGCACGAAAAAGTCAGACTGCAGTCGGTCCACGTATCGCCGCCAACTGTCGGTGGACACTACACACACACGGAAAATCGACTACGAGCACAATCGCAGATCACCACAGTGGCCAGGTCAAAGCAACGGTCACTCCGCACTTGGTATTGCATAACGATAGGTCGCTATCTGGAGAAATACTTGGTACGAACACCCCGTTACGACGTGTCCAGATGGGCAAGGCGCAGTAAACGCAGAGCAGATTCGGTTCGACACGTTGATCTGCTGCGCCTGCGAAGAGTATAAATCTCACTAGCCCAAGGGCCCCACGGGAACACGCGCCAAACGAGCCGGCGGACGAATTAGATAGGCGCTTCTTCGCTAGCTGAATAGCAAAGAAGCTGCTGATGCTGTGTCGAGAGTCGTGATTGCAGAGATTCCACAAAAAGTGCAATACGCCGACGGCTTTCTAAACCGTCCGGATTTTTTTTGTCAATCTAAGATAGAGCTAATCGAATGCATCGTATAAAAATGTCTAGTCTAGAGACCTCTCAGGTTACTATACATGCAAATACAATTGCAAAACTACCTTCTCACTTGTTAGTAGGCTAAACGTTTCCTTAAAAGTAGTTTGGGCGAAGAGCAGTTATCATTATAGTACAAGGTTTTAACTCGGAGTTAACTATTGCGTTTGCAGCCGAGCGTAAGTTAATTAGAGAATAATAGCTGCCAAAAAAATACAACCTAAACGTTACGCCAACTCGCCAACTAGATTTACGGATTTCAAGGTCGAAATGTTTTCCAACGACCATATCCAGTAGCACTTATATTTCCTTGTCCTAGTAGATGGATGTAATAAACAAAGCAAACTAGCATGATTGTAAGTATCGGTAGAAGTTGTTCTGGACATAATTAGAATCGCAAAATAATAGCTATCAGCAAAGCTGCGGTTCCCAGATGTCTGGATAACCCAAGAACATTTATCCATCGATAATCCCTATCCCCCAAATACGACTATAAAGACGTGCAGCAAAAAAACCTTTACACTGAGTTTTGCCAATAACGACTAGAGCAAACTGGTCTCAACAGTTGACTTAAATTGACACTGAATTTACAGCAACTGGAAGGAGCACCGAAAGTCTGGAGGGAATTCGGATGAACAGCAACAAACTCCTAAATCGTGTGTGGACAAGAAATTTCTCGTAGTGTAAGCTCGAGCAGGACGTGCTGAACAGTCACTGACTGCACACAATTCAAAAAATATGAAATATGACGGAATTAACTAAAATACTACAAATTTGACCATCATCAGACCCTGAGAGAGTGCACACTTGGCGTAGGGATAAAGCTTAAAACCGAACTCAAATAACAAAAACAACCACATAAATGATACTGTCTACTAACCTTATCTTGCTGATATCCTCGAAAAAAATAACCCTTTCAAAATAAGAGTAGAGAGTTTTTGTCCCTTTACAGGTGAAATTTTCTATTACTACTTCCTTTCTGCAAATAAAAGATACTACAAAGTACTAAGAATGGTAAACTACTCAACACTTGATGTTGTAGAGTGAGAGATAGAGCAAAGATGATCATTGACTTGAACACAAAAAGAGGTTTACGTCGTCGCTCAAGGTCATCGGCATTCCTCCTCCCTTTTCAAATCCTCTTCAAGCAGGACTAATGAGGAAGGAAAGGTATAAAATTTTGAGACTTGATGCAATTAAACGAGAAGAAGTAAAGCGCAAGTTAACTTCTGCTACTAATTGATCCTACGTCGTGCAAGTACGTTTTCCCCACCACAGACCGATTTCGATAATTTGAAAGAACTCGTAACTTCATTGCATGGCATGCAAGAAACAATATGATCTGATTGTAAGCTCACATTGATCTGTCACATAAAAAACTTACTGAACTGGCCTACTATGCCTGAAATGAAGGAGAAAACTCACCCAAGCATGTGCTCGAGTTCCCCACTAGACGTGCCGCTATCCGAAGCACACTTGTGTCGTTCGAATTCTGAAATGACGCATATTGAAAGCGTGACAGAGATCCACGACCACATTTAGAGAGTGGTGAAGTTTTGCAAAGCAGACGGCGATGGCTACTGCGCAGGCTAATTGCCATACCAGTCATCACGCACAATACTTTGCGGAACTCGGGCGGCCCGAATATGGATAGATGGCGACCATGATCGTACGTCCTCGAATTCGAGTCGATTCGCTCGCCTGCTTTGCGTCACGACCACACAACAGAAACGTGCAAACCTCGTTCGAAAATCAGTGTACTTGCTATCAAAATACAGGAATCCAATAGAAAGATAGTTAATGGACATAAAAACTCGTGACGGCAATTCCAAAAAGCTATTCATTTATCTTCTGAATCTACATACTTATCGAAAAAAGTTGAGAGGAAGACATAATAAATCAACGGTGAGACATCAGCATTGATCTGAGCATGAAACGCTCAAGTTGAAGCGATGCGCGACCGCCAGCGACGATACCAGTTTTCGTTAGCGGTTGTACGATCCGCCTACTAGCCCCTGAACAGCGGCGGCACCACACGGACCGGCTTGAACACTCGAACAACTACCATTATTCTCGCTGGACTTCTCCAATACATGTTGAATAGCTCCGTGCGAGCCATCTCCTCGATGATGAGTGATGAGGTGCCAATAGGCACTTCCCACTCGAAGACGCGTGGGCGCCTGGGGTTGCTCTTTGGCTTGTGCCCGCACCACCTCTCTCCCGTGCTGCAGCGTCCGTCCCTCTCAACCAGCGCTGGTCACTCAGACACTGCTCAGACAGCACACATACGACACGTCATCAACACCACCTACAACGGGTGCATTTAAGAAAGCTGAGTCTAATGGTGACGAAACCGTTCGATTGGGCTACAGTAGTGTAGAGTAGCAGGCCCAACATAGCATTACAACTACAAATTTCCTATCGTTCGTTGAAAGTGTTACGTCGAAATATTTCAGTTTTATCTCATATGACCCGCTAACTGGTTGAAAGCGAGCAACTCAGTGTTATTATTATATATACAACTTCAAATCATCGCTCATAATAAAAAAGCACTTACGGCTTTCGTCAAATCGAAACTGTGAATAGAGCTGGTAGGCTAGGTTGTCGATTGCAACGTCGTCGGAGCCAGAGTGGAAGCCCTCTTCACTGCCTCGACTTGTAGTCGAAGAATACTGTAGTAGACCAGCCATTGCTTGAGAATTGCCAGAAGGTGGTGAATCGTCGTCGGTCCCTGCGAGGCAGTACGGGCCGCGAGTTATCTGCAACGAGAGAGAACGAGAAAATGGGAAACGCGAGGGACGGAGAGGAGAGACGGCGCGGATTTCGAAACACTTTCGACTGTCAGATGTTATCTGATGGATGAATCAGAAGCAAAGCAGAAGCTTCGGTCGGCCGATAGGGCAATCCGACTGGAATGACAGCACGGCAGAGCAGGGGTGAGCGCGAACGACGAACGAACCGCGGCCGAGGGATGACAGATTGCTACCGCCGGGCCGACGAAACCCTGTTCCGCGTCGAGTGACGGGACGATAATTGAACATGTCCACATACGCACCACAAAAGCGGTGTCAAGGCAGTAATGCAATTCGCAGAGTCAGGCGATGGGTACGGTTTCGCGCCGACGTGGTGCTGTGGGTAACTGCGACGACCGCGGACGGCAACGGTTCATTAGTCCGTACTCTAGGTCTAGGATCCACCCAGATCGCTAAGAGCGACAGAAAGAAGAAGCAAACAAATAGGAGTATTCAAATATTGCTGAATACTTAGAACGAAGGAGGTGAAAAAACGCTACAGTTGATCAAAAACCACTGCCACATCAAGGGAAAACCTTTGTAAAAGCTGAAGTTTCAGAACGAAACACTAACAGAAACAACGTGAAGCGTTTGTGTTCGTAGTATCAACTTCAGCAGACGTCAGATTTGACAAACGTGCTCTACTCTGTTCGACAACGTCTGCGGTTGCTGTCCAATAATGGGAACCATCTGGCAACGATAGGAGATATCGCTCGTTCATCGTCAAGCACCACACAAAACACCTGGACGAGATGAGACAGATGGTCTACAACAGCGAGAAGGGTCAGTCACAGGGTCCCTTCTGTACACAACGCCTACCGCGCCAGCATTTCACGACATGACTGCAAACTGATGTGGATACGGTCCTGTCTTCTTCCATAGAGCATCGCCACCTGAACGCGACTAGCGGCGCTGGCTAGGGCGAGAGCCAATGCGTTCCACTGCCGATGCCGACGAGTGCTATCGCATTTCGCCTCTGATTCGCCTTATTCTGTTGACATCTAGCAGACCAGCAGCAGAGAGGAGCCGTGCCAACTGGTGTCATGCCATTTCGCAGTCAACAGCGCGCGCTCAGCTATGCGAAGATGTGTGTATTCGCCAGTCGTCACATTCAAATCGAAACCACCACGATACGTTCGGCACATCATCGACGATCACACAATTCCATCAGCTGGTCTTTAGCTTACCAGTTTTAT